ATGTTGTGATTACAGGGTAATGAAATACAAATATGGAAAAGGACGTCTTCTGGATGCCATATGCTTATTATACAGTGAACAAAATAAATTAGGAATTAATTTTCTCTTTTCTAAATAACTGCAGTATTGTAAATATCATTGTTTTGACAAGACAATTTGTATGTATTTTCCTTAACCCATTGTTGTGTGGGTTAAAACTTGGAATACAGGTCTCTCCGATGATCTCTTCAGTGGAAGGGTCAGTTCTTAAAATTAAATTTTTGCTGATTTCTTACTTCACAGAAAGGCATAATGCACTGAGTCATATATGCAAATATCTAACAAGAATGAAGTCACTCCAAACATTAAATATGACATTATGAAAGAGTAAATGGACATTTATAACTCAAAATGCTGATACATTTGTTGGCAATGGCTTCAATTCTACAGTTGACGATTAACCGTACTTAAGGTGCATGTCCATTTCAGGTCACTGACTTGAAAATCTTTAGATTAAAGAGTAACCTTCCTCATTTCCCAGAATAGCTGAAGACCCTACTTCAAAGTTATTGGCAGGGGCTTTTCTTCACATCAATTGTAGCTGCTTACTATTTGAACTCTTTACCACAGTGGGCTGTTGACCTTGAGATAACAAGGTGTAGAGCTGGATGAACACAGCAGGCCAAGCAGCATGATTCATTATGTACTTTCAAGGCTGAGATAGACAGTTTTTTTAATCAGTATTGGGAATCAAAGATTATTGGAGAAAGGCAGGAACGTGGAGTTGAAGCTTGTCAGGTCAGCCATGATTTCATTGAATAACGGAGCAGACTCAATGGGCTGAATGGCCTACTCCTACTCTTATGTACCATGGTCTCTTGCTTTTGAATAATTTGACTTTGTTTGCTTTTGTTTAGTACAATATTCTTGTACCAAGAAAAGTTAGAATGCTAATGATTAACATTAATTAATGGCAATCTGATGATTGTGACAGGTTTATTTGTACATCCTGAATATAGTAATAAAGGGTTTTAAATAATAACTATGGGCTAAGGCTTACCTTTTCTTAGCTAAATGCAAATTGCACCTTGCTTTTTGGAGGGTTTGGCATGGCAAGGCACAACAAGACTTCTCGCTGTACCTTGCCAAACATGCCTCACTAAGTACCTACCCCACCTCCGGAAATCTGCATGTCCAACTCCAGGCCCATCGCTGGACAAGGACTGGCATTCTGAAGCTGCCCTGCCCAGTCACAGACAGATTCTGATGATGTTGGAGAAATGGAGGGTAGTGCCATAATTCTCCGTCAGGAACCTGGAGGTCCAGGTGGAGGGGGTAGGGCTGAAGAGACACATCCTCTTCCCAGAGGCCTGGCAGAACAGGCCACAACAACAGATCCCACCAGCCTGGTTGCCACCTGGGCCTGTGCCGTCAGGAAAAATCAGCCCGCAGTGCCGCAAGAAGGTTAATGACGTTTCCTGTTCCACCAGCTTAAGTGCCACACTCTTCTCTCTGCTGACTCACACTCACTCTGTCACCAACGCTCGTGCATTGCCACCCTCACTACTGCCTGTAACTTCTTCCCTCACTCACTCTCATTCCCCCCCACAATCTCCCACACCACAAATGCTACATGCCATCTGTATTGCCAACTCACTCTGTCAAAACACTTCAGCATCTCACCCCCACCTGTGCCAGCACTAATAGCCATGCCACTCACTTTCAATCTCACTCAATCCCTCCCTTCATCTTAATCCAGGAGAGGGCAGTTCGCATTCTATGAAAGTCTCTAAATAGCTGCATTTTTTTGCAATTAGATAGCTCCACATTTGTGTGCCTTGTACTCCATTATTTTTTCCTTTATTCATTCATGGGATGAGGGTGTCACTGATTAGGCAGCATTTATTGTCCATCCCTAATTGCCCAGAAGGCAGTTAAGAGTCAACCACATTGCTGTGGGTCTGGAGTCACATGTAGGCCAGACCAGGTAAGGCTGGCAGTTTCCTTCCCTAAAGGGCATTAGTGAACCAGATGGATTTTTCCAACAATTGACAATGGTTTCACGGTCACCATTAGACTGTTAATTCCAGATATTTTGTTGAACTCAAATTCCACCATCTGCCGTGGCAGGATTCGAACCCGGATCACCAGAATATTATCTGGGTCTCTGGATTGACAGTCCAACAATAATACCACTAAGCCATTGCCTCCCACTAGGGACATTGCTCGGTTATACCAGCATCCTTGCATTGATCCAATAAACAGAAATTACTGGAGAAACTCAACAGGTCTGGCAGCATCTGTGAAACAAAAAACAGTTCTGAAGAAGGGTCACTGGACCCGAAAGTTTTCTCCACAGATGCTGCCAGATCTACTGAGTTTCTCCAGCAATTTTTGCTTTTGTTTCAGATCTCCAGCATCTGCAGTTCTCTGCTTTTTTTTGCTTATCCTTGCATTGACCCCTGTTCAGGCAGATACACACAAAATGTGTGCACTGGCATCCAGATTCTAGTAATGTTTTTGTAACATGAGCAAACTGGACTGTTCTTCGTTGGTGTTAAATTTTAAAATAATATTTAAGAAACTCTGCAAACTGAAATAAAGCAAGACTTCATCAATGAGAACTTCAAATTGTGATCCAAATGTGATACAACTTTTCTGTATGCAACTCATTCTCCATTTAAACTGTTTAAAGATGACGATGACATTTTGAATAGTTTCTTCTATTTCGCAAGCTTTGTGTGTCAATTTCAGCTTAGAAACTCTTGTGTCTTCACAGGAAACATATACATAGACAGCAAACATCATCTTGTGCAAAATTAGCAAAGTGTCCCAGTTTTTGGATATTTTTTAGGGATCAGTGTATTTTATCAATAATAAGGGTTGTAGTAGTGGAAACCATCTTTCTTACACTTGAGAATAAAGCATTGGGTGGCACTTTCCCAGCCATTGATCCCCCTGGCAATAGTGTGAAAGTTGAAAGAATCACGAGGTTTGCCAGTAAAGGGATCCCTGACATTGAGAACAAATTGTCCCATTTTCCAAACAAGTATTGAATAGTGAGGGTTTGCTCTGGGTTTTTCCCATAGTCCAAAGATTGCAGGGTAGGTGGATCAGCTATACTAAATTATCCATGTGTCCAGGGATGTGTAGGTTAGGTGGGTTAGACATAGAACATAGAACATAGAACATTACAGCGCAGTACAGGCCCTTCGGCCCTCGATGTTGCGCCGACCTGTGAAACCAATCTGAAGCCCATCTAACCTAAACTATTCCGTTATCATCCATATATTTATCCAATGACCATTTAAATGCCCTTAAAGTGGGCGAGTCTACTATTTTTGCAGGCAGGGCATTCCACGCCCTTACTACTCTCTGAGTAAAGAACCTACCTCTGACATCTGTCCTATATCTATCACCCCTCAATTTAAAGCTATGTCCCCTCGTGCTAGCCATCACCATCCGAGGAAAAAGGCTCCCACTGTCCACCCTATCTAATCCTCTGATCATCTTGTATGTCTCTATCAAGTCACCTCTTAACCTTCTTCTCTCTAACGAAAACAGCCTCAAAACCCTCAGCCTTTCCTCATAAGACCTTCCCTCCATACCAGGCAACATCCTGGTAAATCTCCTCTGCACCCTTTCCAATGCCTCCACTCCTTCCTATAATGCGGTGACCAGAACTGTACGCAATACTCCAAGTGCGGCCGCACCAGAGTTTTGTACAGCTGCAACATGACCTCATGGCTCCGAAACTCAATCCCTCTACCAATAAAACCTAACATACTGTATGCCTTCTTAACAGCGCTATCAACATGGGTGGCAACTTTCAGTGATCTATGCACATGGACACCGAGATCTTTCTGCTCATCCACACTACCAAGAATCTTACCTTAGCCCAGTACTCTGTATTCCTGTTACTCCTTCCAAAGTGAATCACCTCACACGTTTCCGCATTAAACTCCATTTGCCACCTCTTAGCCCAGCTCTGCAGCTTATCTATGTCCCTCTGTAACCTGCAACATCCTTCCGCACTATCCACAACTCCACCGACTTTGGTATCATCCGCAAATTTACTAACCCATCCTTCTACGCCCTCATCCAGGTCATTTATAAAAATGACAAACAGCAGTGGCCCCAAAACAGATCATGGGGAAATGCAGGTGTAGGGATTCTATTGGGGTGTAGTTAATAAGTAATGAGACAAGTTTAGGAAGATACCATGAGGAAAACCCACTAGGGCTTGTGAAAAGAAATCATCCATGAAATTCACCATAAACGGCATTTAGCTGATTCCTGGTGATATTCAGCCTTAGAGTAAAGTTGTCTATTGTCTAAAGTAATTGATTGATTTAAGCAGGTAAGTGGGATTTTTTTTCTAGTAATGTGTTCAAATGTTGATTGTTTTAGCAGGTGTGAGATTCAAACAATGTTAAATTCTCATTAGCATGCCAAATATTAAGATTTTTAACAAAACTCTGCTATTCATTGAAGCTCAGTATATAAGAGTTAAGTAGTTTGAGAACACCAACCATCTGGGAAAATGTGCTTAACCTATAGACGAAGTCAGATAATGTGACATGTTTCCGAAGGGTCATCAAATGCATTTCCATCATCAACATTCCTGGTTTGAGGAGGTGACCAGAGTATTGATGAGGATGTGGTCTACATTTACTTTACTAAAACGTTTGATAAGGCTCCTCATGGTCAACTGGTCAAGAAAGTAAAAGCCAATGGGATCCTAGGCAAAATGACACATTGGATCCAAAATTGCCTAAGAGGCAGAGGGTAGAGGATGATGGTAGAGGGATGTTACCATGACTGGAAGTTTGTTTCGAAAGGGGTTCCACAAGTTTCAAGACTAGAACCCTTGCAGTTTATGGTTGGACTTAAATGTAAGAAACATGATTAAGAAGTTTGAGGGTGGCATGAAAATTGATACGGTAGTAAAGAGTGTGGAGGATAGCAATAAACTGCTGGAGCATATCAATGGAGTAGTCAGCTGTGCAGACCGATAGAAAATGGAATTTGATCCAAAAAAGTTTGAGGTCATGCACTTGAGGACAACTAACAAGGTGAGGGATTTCACAACGAATGGTACGACCCTGGAAAGTACTGAAGTTCAAAGGGCCCTTGGCGTACATATCCACAGACCCCTGGAGGTAGCAGGGCAGGTAGATAAAGTAGTTAAGAAAGCAAATGGAATACTTGTTTGTGTTAGCCAAGGCATAAATACAAAGCAAGGAGATTATACTAGAACTGTGTAAAATGGGCCACAACTGGGCTACGATGTACAGTTCTAGTCACCACACTGCAGGAAGGATATGATTGCACTAGAGAGAGTGCAGACAAGATTTTATAGGATGCTGTCTAGGTTGGAAGGACTGAGCTATGAGGCAAGATTGAAAAGGCTGTGGTTGTTTCCTTGGAGCAGCAAGATTTAGAGGGAACTTGATAGAGGTATATAAGATTATGAGGGGCATAGATAAGGTGGACAGGCAGGTGCTTTTTTCCCTTAGTAGAGGTGTCAATAACCAAGGAGCATAGATTTTAGGTGAGAGGTAGAAGGCTAAGAGGAGTTTGAGGAGATTTTCTTTCACTCAGAGGATGATGGGTGTCTGGAATTCACTGCCCCAAATGGTATTTGAACCAGAAATTTAGGCAGTATTTGGAGATTCACTTGTGTTGAAGTAGTCCTGAGCTAGAAAATGGGATTTGTGTAGTCAGATTATTGTTGATCAGCATGTATACAGTGGACAAAATGGTGTCCCCATTCTGTTCTCTAAATGTCTATGGGTTCCTCTCACATACTATTATCAATTTAACACAACACATTTTACCAATATGTTCTAATGTCATTCACAAGTAGTTTATTTGGTTTAACAATAGATGTGAGTGGTGGAGGAATAGATTTTGCCTAGGTGACATATCATCCTATGTGTCACTTCCCAAGGCAATTGCTTGGCCTATCAGTGCAGTTTTCTTGTCTTCCTATGCCAGCTTAGATTCAGCTCTCTCTACGAAGGATCTGAAGCAGGATAAGGAGCAGAAAAACTATTCAACCAATCAGAGGGAAGAATCCTTACAGACAGAATAGCACACTGAAGCAAATGGGAAATAAAAGTTACATCTAAATCATTTCACAGGAGTAAAATAAAGGTTGGGTTATTCACATGGGATTAAGAGAAATACATTAACAAGTACAGAAAACTATTTAAATGTTTATCTTTGATGGATCTAGAATCACAGCTTTCTTTTAAATGAATGAGGTTCCACATTTGTGAAACTATCTTTTTCAGGGCCAGACAGGCTATTTATTACGATTTATTATTCTGTTAAAAGCTTAATCACTTTTGATTGAACAAGGTTTAAGTGTTCTATTAACCTTAAGTGAGGTAACACACCTATTTAGCTGCACCGTGACAATGATTGTTTTCAGTGAAGGTATTCCTTGGTTTAACTCAAATTTCCTTTGTTAACAGTTTTTGAGTCAGCTGATGATATTTCTCACAAGTGCTGTCAGCACCATATTTTGTGGGCACTTAGGAAAAATAGAATTGGATGCAGTTACACTTGCTACAGCAGTAAGTTTATTCATAAAGTGAACTGGTTTATTTTTCAATTAATTCATATTTGATGACTACATGAATTCATCTTAAATAACATCACTGTGTAGTACTTGGCCACAGGTTGATGAATTACTGCAATTCAAAGGAATGAGTTATTCTTTTGTAAGGAGAAAAGGAGTAGTCATCCTGACCTGTAATCTGTTTATAATGTGGATGATGATAGGGGCAAAGATTGATTTGCTTTTTTCATTCATTCACGGGATGAGGGCATCGCTGGCCTGGCAGCGTTTACTCCCTATCCCTAATTGCAAATAAGAGTTAAAGGTCTGGAGTCATATGTAGGCCAGACAGGGTAAGGATGGTAGTTTCTTTTCCTAAAGGATATTTATGAACCGGATGGGTTTTTCCTTGACAATGGATTAATGGTTATCATTAGACTCTGAATTCCAGATTTTCTTTTTTTTTCCCCCCTATTGAATTCAAATGCCATTCTCTGCCATGTCAGGATTCAAACCTGGGTCCCCAGGATATTATCTGGGTCACTGGATTAACAGTCTAGCGATAATACCACTAGGCCATCGCCTCCTTCTTAATTGTCAAATGGTCATCCAACATATGTAATCCCTGTTTCACCTTTTGAACTTTCCATTGTGCCTCTCCACTCTCTTCCTCTTTAAAGTCCTCCCTAAAATGCATCTCTTTGAACAAACTTCAAGTTATCCTATTGGATAACTCCTCCTTTGGCTCAGTCTTCATTTTACTCCCACTTGTGTGAAGCCCATTGTTTTTTTCCTATGTGGAAGTTGCTACATAAATGCAAGATTTTGTTCTTGTTAGCATTATCTGGAAGCATGAATGAAGGTTGGTCATTTACAGAGACTGTTATGGACCGGACCAGACCACCTCAAAATAGTTTAAAAAGGTAGCCTAGACTGTAACTTTTCCTTATTTTAAAGTCAAATATAAAGTGCTGTGTTCCAGATGCAATTCAATTGGTCAAACTACTCAACATAAAGCAAAACACAATTTATTCAAACATTACAGTTAAAATACAACAAAAGACAGAAGAACTTAGAATAACAACCCTATTGGAAAACTTACCAGAATAATAGATACAGTAACTACAATTAAGTAACTGTTCTAATACAGTAACATCCATTAATCACAACCCTTGCCAAAGAGACAAATTCAGAAAATAGATTTGTCTCACAGGTAACCCAACAGCAGAGGGAAAAACTCTCAGCTTCTAGCTGTAGCCGAGAGAAGGAAAACAAAGATTCTACTTCTTCAAAACTCCAGCAGTTTCTGCTGAACCTTAAAGCTAAAGAAAAACTAATAGTCCCTGGTTTGTGAGAGCTGGCCACACCCAGCAAGGCTACTTCTATTGTTCCAAATTTTAAAACAAAACCAAGGCCCACAGGCTATTTACTTTGAATCAGAGATAGTAGGAGCTGCAGATGCCGGAGAATCCGAGACAACAAGGTGCAGGGCTGGATGAACGCAGCAGGCCAAGCAGCATCATAGGAGCAGAGAGGCTGACGTTTCGGGCCTAGACCCTTCATCAGACTTTACTGGCTTTGCAAGTGAACAGCGCGACACCTCTGTCTTAAAGCCTCTCTTTAAAAAGAAAAGGATATAAGAACATCTTAAAGCCACAGCATCATCACAAGGGTCCTGGAGAACTGCTGAGTCCCATGTGAATTGTACCTTCATAGAGTTTAGTACCTACAAGAAAGAAAGGAAGAAACCTGGACAGATTTGGTGGTTAGATCAGAAAGAAAAAAATTACCATTTCCTCTAATTTTTGCCTCTGAGGTCTAAACATGGAAGTGATTTCTAAAAGACAATGGCATGATTGGCACCTCAATGCATTGGACATCAGACTGGTCTCTCGCGTGCACAGCTGCACAGCCTAGAGGGAACATTGATCATAATGATATTTTGCTTTTTTTTGTGGCATCTGCTCCCATATTACTCAACTTCCTACTTTCTTCTTTACCTTAATACAGATGGTCAATATATCGGGTGTCTCTGTAGGTGTTGGTTTGTCGTTAGCTTGTGACACACTCATATCCCAGGTAAGTGCAAGTACATGGCACCAGTGTAATAGGCGATGAAGACTTCCCTTAACTAACAGACAAGATTATTTTGTTGTAACAGATTTGGATAAAATCTCTTTCTGTTCATTCTTTACATGATCATTTTGAATTTATGTGCAGTGGCTCAGTGGTTAGCGCTGCTGCCTCACAGCACCAGGGACCCGGGTTCAATTCCACCCTCAGGTGACTGTCTGTGTGGAGTTTACACATTCTCCCCGTGTTTGCATTTTTTTGAAAAACTCTACCAGCTCTCATCTTTATTGAACATGATCAAAATATTGTAAGCTCTTTATACTAAGGTGCAGGCTAAGTTTAGTTTTCACACTAAGATGTCAAAAGATTATTTCAGATCTGCAGATGTCTTTTATGCTTCTGCATTCGGAGATTGAAACTTAGAAATTTATGCATTGCCCAAGAATACTAGTCAGCAAGATCTTAGTAAGAGGATGTGGAGTTCCAATTGGTAAATATAATAATTCTACTTATAGTAGTAGGAAACGGTTTACACATTCTTCCTGTGTCTGCATGGGTTTCCTCCAGTTTCCTCCCACAGTCCAAAGATGTGCAGGTTAGGTGGATTGGCCATGCTAAATTGCCCATAGTGTACAGGCTAGGTGGTTTAGTCATGGGGAATGCAGGGTTCCAGGGATAAAGTTGTGGGTGGGGGTTGTGGGTCTGGATGGGATGCTCTTCAGAGGGTTGGTGTGGACTCAATGAGCCAATGTTCTGCTTCCACACTGTAGGAATTCTACGGAAAGGTTTATATTTGCCATGCAACTCATCAACAGGCATGTATAGAAAATATTAAATTCTCTTCCTTTTTTCAGACATTTGGCAGTAAGAACCTGAAGCAAATCGGAGTGATTCTCCAACGAGGGATCCTCATTCTTATGATCGCCTGCTTTCCCTGCTGGGCTCTCTTTGTTAACACAGAAAATATCCTGTTAGCCTTCAAGCAGTCTCCTGAGGTGGCCAAGTAAGACTCCTTACGCTTTGTTGTAAAATAAGTGGGTGTTCAGCATTAAACATGTTGAAATGATGTACCCTCCTGATGGAGCTGCACAATTGCAGAGTGTGTTGGCGCACGTGGAAAGGTTGGGCTCAAGGTCTAATTTCACACATTTGTCATATACTGAAGTCATAAACAAGACCCTTCCCCTGAACCCCCTATTCTAATTTTTGCCTCTGAGGTCGAAGCATGGAAGTGATATCTAAAAGACAATGACATGATTGGCACCTCAATGCATTGGACACTGTTGACTGAGTCAGAACCTAAACTGGCTGCATCCTCAGCACCTTTTCTCATTTCTAAATTGTTCTTTATCTGATCGGCAGCATATAACAGACAGAGTCCCACATGGCTATATTATGAGACCTCAGCTTTTTACAATATATGTTAATTTTCATGGACAAGGGCAATGAAGGTGTGTCAGATACATTTGCAGACGGCATAAAGAAAAATAGGAAAGCATGTTTTAAAGAGGGATAAATAGATTGCAGACCAATGTACACAGGTTGAGTGAGCAAGTGAGCAACTGGGCAGATGGAACTTTTTTTTAATATTCTTTCACAGAATGAGGACGTCACTGGTTACATCAGCATTTATTACCAATCCCTGATTATCTAGAGGGCAGTTAAGAGTTAACCACATTGCTGTGGGTCTAGAGTCACATGTAGGCCACACCAGGTAAGGATGGCAGTTTCCTACCCCAAAGGACAGTAGCGGACCAGATGGGTCAGGAACATAATACGCGATAACTGTAAAGTTCATCAATTTGAACATAAATTGAGAATGATTGCAGAATTCCGAATGCAGAAGGATCTAGGTGTTTCACTGCATGATTCACAAAACGGTTAGTGTGCAGGTACAGCAAGTTAATAGGAAGGCTAAAGGAATGTTATCCTTTATTGTGAGAGAAACATAATAGTTAGCTAGAGGTATGTTTCACTTAGCCCTGGATGAGCCTTTCTCTGATTTATGATATTTTCCCATCAACCTGTTCAGTGATGTTGTGCTACACCTCTGGCTCACAATATCCCTGTGCCACAACAGCTCCATTTTCTCCAATTTACTTTTACTTTTCTCATGGCTTGGAACTGACAAGTCCCACTGAGCACAATTATAACCAAATACCGAAGTAGGACTGACCTGCAACCCTCCACTCCCAGATCGCCATTCATTCTTGTTTCAACTTATTGCATGACCCTTTTCGAGTTTGTATTTGTTCATTTATTTTTGTCTTGAATCGTTTTCCTGCTTTTAACAACCTTTCCTATTTCTCCAACAGGTTAACAAATTTGTATGTGCTGGTATTTATTCCTGCTCTCCCTGTGAGTAAAGTATTATCACACAAACTCTCATAGTTGCTGGCAATCCACAAAAGTAGAACGCTGTTTTCTGAAACAGAATTAATGGACCAGAATTCCACAGATTTACCTTTAAAAATAGTGAATGGGACCCGGATTGGAATACCAAACCCCATTTCTGATCAATCATTTTTTTTGCACCAGGAAGTGGAGAGCAAAATATGTAGAATGTGAGTCCAACATGCAGCAACCCAAACTCAGTGCTGAGTTCAAACAAACCCCATTCTCACTGGAGCAAGAGCCTTCATGCAGTTTGGGCATAGGACTGAGTTATTTTTCAACGCTTCATAATCTTGACTTGATTAAACAAATGAGGAATTAAGTTATAGAGATAGTAGGAACTGCCGATGCTGGGGAATCTGAGATAACAAGGTGTAGAGCTGGATGAACACAGCAGGCCAAGCAGCATCAGAGGAACAGGAAGGCTGCCGTTTCGGGTCGAGACCTATATTCCGTTTGATTGTGGATAATTGCAAATATTGAATAGGGGCGGGTGACGGCATGAGTTGGAATGTATGCATGTGGAAAGTAGGTCGAATGTTGAGGGGATATTGGAGTTAGGGCTATATGGCTTAACATGCAAAGAAAACAACTGGAGTGGGCCTTTTAAACAGATTAACCTGACACTGAACAGCCCCTATGGCAGCCTCCAGGATGAATCTGGGGCACGTGGGCCCTATACCAAACTGAACTTCTAATTTCCCCACACTCTCATCCCAAACAAAAGGTGAAAATCCTGAATGAGGTGCACTGAGCTGAGGAAATTCCTGATTCAAGCCACCAATCTAAAGAGTGAAAATCTGGACCAAAATGTTTTGGGTCAACAACCTTTCCTCAGCCAATTCTAGTCAACTATAACAAATTCTCTCGCCTCCATTGCTTTAATGTTTGTGGGATCTTACATCAATCAATTTGCACACAGCTTTTCCTATACAAGAGTGAGTGCAATTCCAAATTTCTTAATTACCTGTGAAATGCTTTGAGACATTCTGAAATTGTGACAGGTTCTATGTGAATGTAAGTCCACCTTTTCCTAATTGATTTTTCCTTTTTTTTTCACTCAGGCAGTGTTCCTTTATCATTTAGAGATCAGATACCTTCAAAATCAGGTAGATGTTGAGTACTACATTTTATATTTTAGATAATGTTTAACATGCATGCTAGATTTTTAATGGCATAGCTACTAGACTGGGTCTGGGCAGGTAGTGAGGGTTTCACAAGAAGGAAAATCATGCTTGACCTTACCCTCACCCACCTGCCTTCCACAGATGCATCTGTCCATGAGCGACCACCACACAGTCCCGTTTTCACATTTAGAATACCCTTCATTGAGTTATTTGACGCTACAACCATGATAAATGGGATAGATTTTGTACAGATCTACCAACTCAAGACTGGGCATCCATGAGGCGCTATGGGTCATCAGCAACAAAAGAGATGTACTCAAACACAATCTGCAAGTGCATAGCTTGGAATATCCCCCACCCTAGAATTACCATCAAGCCAGGGGATCAACCCTGGTTCAATGGAGAATGCAGGAGGGCATGCCTGAAGCAGCACCAGGTATACCTAAAAATGAGGTGTCAACCTAGTGAAGCTACTACACACTTATGTGTCAAGCAGCATAAGCAGCAAGTGGTAGACAGAGCTAAGTAATGCCACAACCTTCTGATCAGATCTAAGCAAAACAAAGCAAAGAAGTGGAAATGCTGGAAATCTGAAAATGAAAACAGAAATTGAGGGACAATCTCAGCAGGTCTGGCAGCATCTGTAAAGAAAAAGCAGTGTTAATGTTTCAAGTCCAGTGATCATTCTTCAGATCTAAGTGCTGTTGTCCTACCACATCCAGTGGTGAATGGTGGTGGACACTGAAACAACTCGCTGGGGAAGGAGGTTCCACAAATATCCCCATTATCAATGATGGAAGAACCTACCACATCAGTGCAAAAGATAAGGCTGAAGCTTATGCTTAATTCTTCAGACAGAAATGCTGAGTAGATGGCCCATCTCAGCTTCTGCAGTGGTACCTAGCATTACAAGACCCAGTCTTGAGCTAATTTGATTCACTCAATGTAAAATCAAGAAATTGCAATTGGTACTGGATACTGCAAAAGCTACAGGCCCTGACAACGTCCTGTCAATAATACTGAAGACTTGTGCTCCAGAACTTGCCATTCCCCTAGCCAAGTTGTTCCTGTATAGTTAAAACACAGATATCAAACTGACAATGTGGAAGATGTCTCATGTATGTCCTGTACACTAAAAGCAGGATAAATTTAACGCAGCCAATTTGCAACCCCATCAGTTTACCCTCAGTCATCAGTCAAGTGATGGAAGATGTCATCGATCTGCTCATCAATAACCTACTCAGTGACACTCGGTTTGGGTTCGATGAGGGCCGCACAGCCACTAACCTCATTACAGCCTTCATTCAAACATGGTCAAAAGAGCTGAATTCCAGAGATGAGGTGAGAGTGACAGCCCTTGACATTTCAGCTGCATTTGACTGAGTGTGGCATCAAGGAGCTCTAGCAAAACTGAAGTCAATGGAAATCAGGGACAAACTCTCTGCAGATTGGAATCATACCTGGAACATAGGAAAATGGTTGTGGTTGTTGGAGGTCAGTCATCTCAGCTCCAGGACATCTCTGCAGGAGTTCCTCAGGGTAGTGTCCTGGGCCCAATCTGCAGCTGCTTCATCAATGACCTTCCCTCCATTGTAAGGTCAGAAGTTGGGATGTTCACTGATGATTGCACAATGTCCAGCACCATTCGTGATTCCTCAGATACTCAAGCAGTCCACGTTCAAATACAACAAGATCTGGATAATATCCAGGCTCACGCTGACAATTGGCATGCGATGTTCATGGGCATCCAAGGTTTTTGAGAAGATTTGTAGCTTGGGTTGTTGATGGGGTTGTTGACTTGCTCGCCGAACTGGTAAGTTTGTTCACAAATGATTCATCACCATACTAGGTAACATCATCAGTGCGCCTCTGGTGAAGCGTCAGTGTTCTGTCCCACTTGCTATTTATGTGTCTTGGTTTGCTGGGGTGGGTGGCATCACTTCCGGATTTGTTTCTTAGTGGTTGGTATATGGGATCCAGCTCTGCATGTTTGCCAATGGAGTTCCGGTTTGAGTGCCAGGCCTTCAGGAATTCTCGTGCGTGTCTTTGCTTGGCTCGTCCTAGGATGGCTATGTCATCCCAGTCGAATTGGAGTCCCTGTTGTACATGTGTATTGAAATGAGTGATAGTTGGTCATGTCTCTTGGTAGCTAGTTGGTGTTAATGAATCCTGATGGCTAGTTTCCTTCCGGTTTGCCTTATGTAATGTTTTTGGCAGTCTTTGCATGGTATCTTGTGAATAACATTGGTTCTGTTAGTTGTGGTTATCGGATCCTTTATTCTCATCAGTAGCTGTTGAAGTGTAGCTGTCAGTTTGTAGGCCACCATGATTCCTAGGGGGCAGAGTAATCTGGTGGTCATTTCAGATATGTCCTTAATGTATGGTAGGGTGACTAGTGTCTCTGGACTTGTTGTGCCTTCCTGTTGTGGTCTGTTACGTAGGTATTGCAGACTACAATTTTTGGGTAACTATTGTTTCTAAAGACGCTGTATAGGTATCCTTCCTCAACTGGGACAATGTAGCCATCTTAGGACAAGACAACCAAAGACACGCACAAGAATTCCTGGAGGCCTGGCACTCAAACTGGAACTCCAGTAACAAACATGTAGAGCTGGACCCTATATACCAACCACTAAGAAACAAATCTGGAAGTGATGCTGCCCACCCCATCAAACCGAGACACACAAATAGCAAGCAGGACAGAACACCGACACTTCAGCGGAGGCGCGCTGACGGTGTTACCGAGCATGGTGACAAAACTTCGGCAAACAAACTTACCAGCTCGGCGAGCAAGTCAACAACCACAAGTGATAGGTATTTCTATCAAAAGAAATTCTGACCTTTGCCTCTTATCATTCAATGGTATCATCATTATTGAATCCCTCATTATCAATATCCTTGGGTCTACCATAAGGACTAGCCAAATAAAAACTGTGGCTACAAGAGCAGGTCAGAGACTAGGAATCCTCCATCAAGTAACTCATTTCCTGATTCCCAAAAACCTGTCCACCATCTACAAGGCACAAGTCAGGAGTGTGATGAAATACACTCTACTTGCCTGGATGGGTGCAGCTTCAATAACACTCAAGAAGCTTGACACCATCCAGGACAAAGCAGGCCGCTTGATTGGCACCACATCCATAATCATCCATGCCCTCCACCACTGATGCTCAGTAGCAGCAGTGTGCACCAGCTACATGATGAATTACAGAAATTCACTAAAGCTTCTTCTACAGCACTTCCCAAGCTCACAACCATTACCATCTAGAAGGACCTCTGGGGTGGCACGGTGGCTCAGTGGTTATCACTCCTGCCTCACAACACTTGGGACCAGGTTTCAATTCCTCCCTTGAGCAACTGTCTGTGTGGAGTTTGCACATTCTCCCCATGTCTGCATGGGGTTCCTCTGGGTGCTGTGGTTTCCTCCCACAGTCCAAAGATGTGCAGATGAGGAGGATTGGCCGTGCTAAATTACCTGCGAGTGTCTAGGATTAGCCATGAGAAATTCAGGGTTATAGGGTAGGGGGTGTGGGTCTGGATGGGATGCCCTTCAAAGGAGCAGTGTAAACTTGATGGGCTGAATGGCCTGTTTCCACATTGTAGGCATTCTATGATCTATGACAAGAGCACACCCATTCTAACACCACCCACTACAGGTTCCCCACCAAGCTGCACACTATCCTGACATGGAAATATATCACTGTCCCTTCAGCATTGTTAGTCAAAATCCTGGAACTCCCTCTCTTTTAGCATGGTGGATCCAATTAGTCCAGTACCATTGCCATCATCTCTCCATAGATTTCAAAGTTTTCTTTTGTTGAATTTGATTTGGTGACTGAAGGCAGACAAGACACCAGAAGCTGATGGCCTGCATCCGAGGGTTTTAAAGGAAGTGGCAGCGGAGATAGTAGAGGCATTGGTCAAAATGTTTCAGGACTCTCTGGATTCTTTGAGGGTTCAAGCAGATTGGAAAACCTGCTAACATTTTATGTCTTTATTTATGGTGAGAGTGTGGTTAAGTGGAACTGAGGCCATGAAAAGATCAGCCATGATCTTATTGAATGGCAGAGCGGGCTCGAAGGGGCCAGATGGCCTACTTCTGCTCCTGGTTCTTATGTTCTAACATGATGCCCCTGTTCAAGAAAGGAGGGAGAAAGAAAGCAGGAAACTATAGGCCAATTAGCCTAACATCTGTCATCAGAAAAATGCTAGATTCCATTACTAAGGAAGAAATAGCAGGACTTTTAGAAAAGCTTAACACAATCGAAATGAATTAACATGACTGTGTGAAAGGCAAATCATATTTGGCATATTTGCCAGAGGTCTTTGGCGATATAACAAATAGATTCAATAAAGGGGAGCTGGTAGGCGTGACGTATTTGGATTTACAAAATGCGCTTGATGAGGTGCCATGTAAAAGTTTATCGCACAAGATCGGAGCTCACATTATTGGAGATTGAGGGTTGGCTAACTCATAGGAGTCAGTGAGTCAGGATTAATGGGGTTTTTTTTATCAGGTTGAAAAGATGTGACCAGTGGAGTGCCACAAGGGTCAGCCCTAGGGCTTAAGATATTACTGTCTATATTAATGACTTAGAGGAGGTAGGGTTTAATGTTACAGAATAACATTTGGGAGGACATGTGATAAGAGTAAGAGGAGTCTGTAAGGGGATATAGATAGGTTGATGAAGTAGGCAAAAAAATTGGGAGATAATATTTAATGTAGAAAAATGTGAGATCAAGAATCAAAAGGCAAGTTATTATTTAAAATGAGGGGACTCCAACAAAGTGCAGTACAAAGGGATCTCCCTGTTCTTGTGCACAAAACACAAAAAGTTGACCTGCAGGTGCAGCAAGTTAATTAAGAAGGCAAATGGAATTTTGATTTTTATTGTGAGAGGTTTGGTTTAAAAATGGAAAATTTGGATATAAAAATGGACAATTGTACAGAATGTTGGTGAGGCTGTACCCGGAGTACTGTGTATAGTTTTGGCCCCTGTATTTAGAAAAGGATATATTGGCATTGGAAGCAGTTTAAAAGAGATTCACTAGGCTGATTCCTAGGATGAAGGGGTTTACTTATAAAGAGCGACTTAAACAGGCTAAGCCTTTATTCATTAGAGTTTAGAAGAATGAGGGGTAATCTTATTGAATCTTACAATATGCTGAAGGGATTGATAGAATAGAAATTACAAAGATGTTTCTATCAATTGGGGACTCTCAAACATGGAAACAGAGATACAAAATGAGGGGACACTCATTTAAAACTGAGGTGTGAAGGAATTTCTTCTCCCAGAGAGTATAAATGTCTGGCTAGATCACTAGAAGCATTTATAGACGAGCTGGATAGACTTTTGAAATATTGCGGGTTTGAGGGCCATGAGGAGCTGACGTGGAGAGGAGTTGAGGCTTGGGGCAGATCAGCCGTGATTGTATTTATTGGTGGGACTGACTTGAGGGGCTGAATGATTTATTCCTGCTTCTATTTCTTATGTTTTTATGATCTTATCTCTTGGACTAATCTCCCAGATCAGATGACTGTAAAGGATCTCATAGACTATTCACAGGAAAGAGCAAGAGATTTCCTGGGGCCTTGGTCCATACTTATCCTTCAACTAATGTCCCCAAAGAAGGGATTAGTTGTTTGATTGCTGCATGCAATTTGGAGAATCCTGAAGCTCATCGAATACATAGTACTTCTAAGGGTACAGGGATGTTGAAATTTGTATGCACAAAGACTCAATGCAATCATTAACATCATTTAGAAGATTTCTTTATTGGTAAATAACTTTGGACATCACAATCATAGTACACACGTGCCAACAGGTTCAAAAACAGCTTCTTCCCCAGTTATTAGACTGCTGAATGGACCTCTCTAATTTCATATCTCATGTTGATCTTGCATTTCCGCATCTCCTCAGCAGCCATGACCTTGTGTGCCTCGCTCTGTCTAAACATCCTATGATCTGTATGTCCTTGTATGTTATGGTCTGTCTGTACTGCATGCAAAACAAAACTTTTCACAGTACTTAGTTACATGCGACAACAATAAATCAAATCATAAGTTGGACTTGAATAATTGGAAATTTAACTTCCTACTAACTGCATGATAACATGAATACCGTATTAAGAAACCAAACTGGAGCTGTGCTGCACCGAAGACTCCTCCACACTGGTGTAAACTTGTTAGATTGAGCTTCTCTAGAAACTGACTCACCCAACTTTCCATCTCCATAAACACAGAACACATCCTTCATCCCATTTGTATCTTAAAGTGCTGTTGTTTCCCCTGTTAGAACCAAAGAAGCCTAGAATAGCTTGGTCCACTTGGCACATGGAGTCTTTCCTTGCTCTTTCGAAGAGTAATTCACTCACTGGCTCTTTCCAGATATCCCTGCAGTTACTAATCTCCTTCAAGTATTCATTCAGCACTCTTTTGAAGATCACAACCGAATCTGTACATACCACTCTACCAGGCAGTGCTTTCCAAATGTTAATCTCTTGTTATGTAAGAATGTTTTCCCTCAAAGTGGTGTCGCTGATTTTATCAGTTATCTGTAACCTGCTCTGAATGAATCCTTCAGCTCCTGATAATGTTAATTTGTTTTGTTCTTGTTCTAGGGGATTACTATGCCACCAGTTTTCATTGGTGTCTTAGTCAACATTCTCAATGCCCTAATAAATTATCTGTTGTTGAATATATTTTCTCTGGGAGTACAGTAAGTAGCAAATAGTTTTCGTTTTATTCCAGTTAACAAACATGGTCATCTGATTTGTGATCTTTCTGCAATGCAGCTTATTTTTGTCAGCTTGCATGAAGGAGGATTTGGGGATGGTGGTGAGGTGATGAGTGGTTGAGATTTCTACAGTCTTGGTGCCATTGTCACTGAGCTCCCTGTAGATGCATTTGTTTCATGGAGAAATAGAACTTGTGTCTGTTTTGGAGTACTGACCCACGTTGTGGAAGCTGTTTGAAGATTTGATCCAAAGCAGCATGTGGAACCAGTTACACAAAAGCAAAATACTGCAGATGCTTGACATCTGAAATAAAAGCAGAAAGTGCCAGAGAAACTCAGCAGGTCTGCCAGCTTCTGTGTGAAGAGAAACAGTGTTAATGTTTTGAGTCTAATCTGTCTCTTTTTCTGGTGTGCAAGGGGCTGGAAAATGTTTTTTTATGCTGTTGATGGGGGGGTGGGGGGAGGAGTAATTGGAGGAGATGGTGAAGGTTCTCAGAGCAAAAGGCAGAAGGAGTGCTAATGGCAGTAAAGGAGAGATTGAGATGTCAAGTGGGTGTAAATATTAGGTGTGAAAAGGAGAAAATGGGTCTGCTCTACTGATACCAAAATCAAGAAGACAGAAACAAGGTAAGGGTCAGGAAGACGGGGTGGGAGCGGGACATGGAGGTCATTTGAACTTTAACATATGACTTGGTGTTTTCTAGGGGCTCTGCAGCTGCCAATGCTGTCTCTCAGTACTGCCAAGCAATTTTTCTGTTTGTTTACATTCGGTGGAGAAAGTTATATGTCAACACTTGGGCAGGTAAGTTACAGTCTATCTGTCATTAATATTTCTTTCCTCAAATGATTCCTAATAATTTGTTTTGCACTTTTTTAGTCTCTACCCTCTCCCACACACCACCAACACAGTGTCCTGTTGCTCCTAAATTTGTCTTGTTCTTCTCATGTTTCCTACACTCACATCATTAACGCCATTGATTTTTTTTTTCACTACGGAGCATGGTCCACTGATTGCCTGCAGGAGTGGGGCCTCTTTGTACGACTGGCAATTCCAAGCATGCTCATGTTATGCATCGAATGGTGGAGTTATGAAGTTGGAGCTTTCCTAGCAGGTAAACATAATTAAACATTTTACACGATATGGACTGCATCAATTCACAAAAAAAAACTCACCATAACCTTCAAGAGCAACAAGCAATCGCAAAAACCATCCAGTGACACCCACGTCCCATGAGTGAATTTTAAAAAACATTCCTCTGGTCAACTGTTATGTTCGTATGTGTGACGAATTTTGCACCAGCTAACTGTACTTCAGACTAAAATGTTCCTTATTTCTGCCGAGTTTCCTCAATTGCGCTCAGCTGTATAAATGCAACAGCCTGGTGTTACATTGTGTCAATCTGGATTCAGGCCAGTCAGTGAGACGGAAAAGGCACCTTAATAAAAACTAAAAGAACTGCGGATGCTGTAAATCAGGAGCAAAGACAAAGTTGCTGGAAAAGCTCAGCAGGTCTGGCAGCATCTGTGGAGGAGAAAACACAGTTAACGTTTCGGGTCCGGTGACTCTTCCTCAGAACTGATGGTGGCTGTGAAAACGTCAGTTTATATGCAGAAAATAGGGAGGTGGGTGGGGTAGGGAGTAAACGATAGGATAGAGCCCAAAGGGAGAGAAAGGCAGGGTGTAGAGCTGGATGAACACAGCAGGCCAAGCAACATCAGAGGAGCAGGAAGGCTGACGTTTCGGGCCTAGACCCTTCTTCAGAAAAGGGGGAGGGGAAGGGGGTTCTGAAATAAATAGGGAGAGAGTGGGAGGCGGATAGAAGATGGATACTGATGAACACTGACACCCAAAACCATGTCCAAACAGGACATGGTAGAAACACAGGCAGGTCATCTCTAAGAGGCAGGTCCAAGCAATCAGATGGCATTACATGATTTCCCATGGAGTTGTTTATAAGACAAAATGTTCTCATGTCCAAAGTGATCTGTCAGTGATCCCCATTAA